TGGTTGCCTCGACGTGGACGACGGCTGGCCGACCTCCCGCGGCCTCCCTTGGCGTCGTCGTCGTCGGATTCACTGCGGTCGGGACACTCAAAGGAGAGGTGGTCGGGGCTGCGGCAGATCCAGCATTCCCGACGCCGACTTCCTCCTCCGCGACCGCCTTCCTTTGCCTACTTGCCCTTGTCGGCGTCCTTGGCCGGCTTCCCACCTCCGCTACCACTGCTGCCAGGCTTCCCGCGCTGCCCAGGCCGGCTTCCTTGCTTCACCGGGGCGGCGTAGTTCACCTGCGCCAGAAGCTCCAGGGACCACTCGGCCTCCTGCATCGCCTCGTCCTGCAGGATGTACGAGGTCAACGTGTCCTCGTTGAGCGTCGCCCGCGTGCTCGGCGCCATCGACAGCCGCTTCAGCAGGTTGTAGCTGCTCGGGAGCCCCTGCATAACGTGGGTGACGTACGACGCCGTTGAGTACTCCGCGCCGGCCATTCTGATGGTGGCGAGAATTCGCCGGGCCCGGTTGCAGTAGTCGGTCGCCGTCTCCTCGTCGCCCATGCGCAGGTGCGTCAGCTGCCCCTCCAGCTGGGCGATGAACAGGTCGTCGGTGACCTGGTACGTCGACTCGATAAAATGCCAGGCCTGGTGCCCGGCGTCCAGGTACTCCCTGCACCACTTCAAGGCGATCTGCACGCCCGGCGAGCAGCACCGTGAGATGACCGTGAAGGTCAACAGCTGCACAGCGCGGAACTCAGCTCGCAGGTCGGGGTCGTCCGGCGTCTCCACGGTGCCTCGAGCGAAGCTGATCAGCCCGGCCATCTCCAGCTGGGGCTCGATAGCTTCCTTCCAGGTGAGGATGTCTGGTCGACCGACCAGCGGGGGAGTCACCGAGATCCTGTCCGGCGTGAACTTGTAGTAGCCGTAGCTCGGTGCAATTCCGCCCGCCGTCACCTGGGACGCCGCCATCGGCATCAACCCGCTTCGTCGACCTCCGACGTCGCCCTGCGAGGTGCCTGCAGCCGCAGGCGACCGCATCCCTCGCACCTGAACGCCGCCGACTTCATCGGCATGAATCACACCTCTTTGCCTCGATGTGCCTCCCGCACTGCTGCCGACTTGGCCGCTCCCGGCGTTGACGCCCACGCCGACGCCACCCTCGGTGTTCACCGGTCGAGGAGAAGCAGGCCGAGAAGGGTGCTCCTGCGCCCACATGCTACGGAGCCCGGCCTCGATGACCGCCCACGGCAGGTCGCCATAATTGTTGGCCTCATGCTTTCTCCTTGCGTTCTCCAGCCGTGCCTCTAGGGTGTCCACCACCCCGGCGTCACCTACGCCGCCTACCATGGTGACTAACGCAAGACTGCCGGCCTACGAACACTGTCGGGAAGTGCAAAGTCGGCTAGACTGAACTACGTCGCGGTGTCGTCCACGCTCACCGCACCATGCGGAGATAACTCTAGCAACGGGAGCTTGACTACGGGGAAGGCACGTTGTGTGAGAGGGATCTCTGCGTTCGTTCACTTAGTCGTTTGCTGGTGTGTTCTCTGCTTACACATGCACGGGGAAATTTTGCAAGAGTTTCACTAGCAAAGATGGACCACAATGATAGCAACAACGTTGGCAACACAGACTACATCAGAGCTAGCTAGGCTGCTGGTCGACCTCCAGCGCAGCACGGTCGACCGCGTTCCAGCGCAGCAATGCTCGCACCGCTCCAGCGCTGCAGAGATGCGGCGCGCCAACGTTGCAAGTCCACGGTGTGCCAACGCTGCAGCAAGTCGGCTGCACAGCGTTGCACTCGCAGGACAATGGTGCACCTGCTTCGCAGGTGTGCGCAGCTGGTTGGCGTCCAACTCCCCGTCACGTGCCCAACGTAGACATTCCCGCTCGTGACGGCGCCCATCAGCCACGTCGACCTCGGGATACCACCCCCGAGGTCGCCCTCCGCCAAAACCATCCCCTGCGACCTTCGCAGCTGTCGCAGGGTATCCCGGTCGACCGGGCAACCCCGCCTGGTCGTCCAGCCCAGTCGGACACCGGCCACACCAAGCCCGGCGTCCCCAGGTCGGCGTCCTGGCGTCCTGGTCGGCGTCCCCTCACCCAGGACGCCTTCCAGGCGCCCAAGTCAGCATCTAGGCGTCCGGGACGCACCATCAGGTCGGCGTCCAGCCTCCCAGGACGCCGGGTAGACGCCCAGGGCGGCGTCCCACCTCCCAGGACGCCGAGCAGACGCCTAGCACGGCGTCCAGGCGCCCAGGACGCCGAGCAGACGCCCAGGTCGGCGTCCACCTGCTCGGCGCCCTCCAGCCAGACGCCCCCAAGCTCCGCGCCCTTGCAGTGGCCCCCGTGCCCACTGCTGCAGGTCGGCTGCATCTCCCCCGTACACCCGACCACGAGGTCGGCTCCGCCCAAGCGAGGACGAGGCAGAACACAACTCCCGTTGACACCGGCGATGTTTGATTCGGCCACATTGGTGACTTACACCACGTCGTCATCATTGCCAGGAATGTCGCAAACGGTTTCGCGAGAGGAGTTGCGATCGGCGTCTTCTTCCATGGGTGAGTGGCTTCTAGACTTGCATATTCGTGCTTTGTCTGTACTGATTTGTGTTGATCGGGTTCAGTTGGGAGGAAGGGGCAGAAATAAGTGGTCGCTACTTTTTCGGCTTGCTGCAGTCTCATCGAACATCACGAGTCCGTATCAACCCCAGGGTCAACACCTCCAGCGCTGGCACCCACCGAGCTAGCACCGCCGGCATCAATACCCACACAGAAGGGTTGCTTTTTTTTTATTATTTTTTTTTATTTTATTTTTAATTTTGGAACCCTACTTTTCAGTGTGGCTCATCAAAAACCTTGACTTTCGACTAGTTCCAGACAATTCCTTGTAACGATCGGGGATTTCCCATTTTGAGAAAAAAAAAAAAAAAACAAAACAAACAAACACCCCCTTCCCCCCCCCCCCCCCCTCCCCCCCCCTCCCCCACACACACACAAAACACACACACACATATACACACACACACACACACGCGCGCGCGCGCGCGCGCGCACGCACGCACGCACGCACACACACACACACACACACACACATACACACACACATACACACACACAAAGAACCGAACCTCACACCTCGCACTTTGAAACAATCCGGCTAGATGGTCGTTGCGAAACCACCACTTCTTCAGTTCGCACACCCTTGGGTCTCGTTCCCCGTAGGTGTGAGGCTGCTCCACGAAGATAGTCGCATCGACCAGAGCGTACAGGAACACATTTTCACGTCGATCTGCCGTAGTGGTAAATGCTTGGCAGCAGCGATGGGACGAAGGTCGGATCGAAGTCGACCCCGTGGCGCTGATCATACCCGCGTAAGACCCATCTAGCTTTGAAGCGCTCGATAGTTCCGTTAGCGGCAGTTTAGAGCTGAAACACCCATTCTTCGGACAATACTCTTCTCCCCTTCACTGCTGCATGATCGACCAGGACCTAGGTGTCTCAGGACTCCATCGCCTTGGTCTCCGCGTGCATGGCCGCACGCCAATCCTTGGCATATGGTCCGGTGAGGGCCTGCCACAGATTTTTGGGCTTGATGGTGCGTGGTGCGGTAGTCGTGGCGGTATGCAGTCCGAGTAATTGTAAGCCCGTGACATTTGCTGCGTTGTGTGGTTCCTGAGTGTTTACTTCACCCACTTCGTCGTCGTTGTCGTGTGCGGGCGAAGCGCTCCTTGCGGGTCTCGGAGCCGTAAGAGTCCGGATGCGTTATCGTCATCTTCGCCATCATCATCGTCCTGCGGGCGAGGTGGGACGCCAGGGTGCTTGTCGCTGGGGTCGCGGTCGAGAGCCGCAGCTGCTGCTTCGCCTAGAGAGGCGAAGCTCCTGCCATTGTTGGCATAGACTCGTGCTGCTCCCGCTCGCCGATTGTGAATATGTGTGGCATGCGTGAGACGCTTGTAGAAGAGAACGTCTCGTGTAGGTGCGATCTTGTTGGTATCCAGGTCCAGGATCAGCCATCCGAGGTGAATTCCCCAGTGTGCGTGGTTAGAGAACTTGCCGATGGTAGCGGAGTTCGGTCTGTATCGCACCATGCAGCCCCAGACCCGCGGCATAGAGGTGTCGCCCTTGGTCCCGGTCCGCTTCACATAAGGTGAGTGATTTCCTCTATTGGCGGTCGTAGATAGGAGGTTGTGCAGTCTTGTAGCGTGTTGCATGGCGAACGAGTAGAACTTGATGGGGAGGCCGGACTTCTTCATGAGCGTATGCACTTTTGTTATCAGAGTGCGGTTGATGCGTTCGGCGACGCCATGCTGCTGGTGAGCGTAAGGGAGCAAGATTTGATGCAGGAAATTTTGCAGTTTGTTGCTGCAAAAATTTTCTGCTCCGCCCGTCTGCCATATTTTCAGCTTCTTCTTGGACTGTCACTGTGCGTGAGCCGAGTAGACCCGGAACACTTCAAGTGCCTTTGCGTGGGTGTCAATGTTTGCTACCCAGGCGTAGCGGGAAGGTGAGAGTGTAGCTTTCGTCATTGAGACCGGCATAGCCGACAAGGAGAAAGTCGCTGTACACCTTGTGCATCTTCTTATAGCGATTGGTGCTTGGCTCATGTGAGGGGTAGGCTTGGTGTGAGAGAGAAGCTGTGGGCAGACTGTGCATGTGTGCGGTTGTGAGGTGCTTTGTCGTTCTGAGCCATCCTGACGCAGTAAGGCAGCAGGGAGGAACACTTTGGCGTTGAGGCAATTGTTGAGGGTCTGACGTGGCGAGTGGTCGAGACACTGGTGCCAAAGGTCATCGTCTGCACAAACTCCAGGAGTGCGCAGGTACCGTATGCAATGCGCGTTTGCCTCTTCCTCTTTTTCTTCTCTTCTTCTTCTTCTTAGGAGGAGGAGGATGAGGAGAGGAGGAGGAGATGAGGATTCTTGAGGTCTTCTGATCTTCTAGGATCTTCTTCTATTCTTCGTCTGATTCTCTTAGGATTCTTCTTTCTTCTTCTTCTTCTCTTATTCTTCTTCTTCTCTTATTCTCTATTATTCTTTCTTCTTCTTCTTCTTTTCTTCTTCTTCTTCTTCTTCTTCTTCTTCTTCTTCTTCTTCTTCGTCTCTTCTTCGTCTTCTTCGTCTTCTTCGTCTTCTTTCGTCTTCTTCTTCGTCTTCTTCTTCGTCTTCTTCTTCTTCTTCTTCTTCTTCTTCTTCTTCTTCTTCTTCTTCTTCTTCTTCTTCTTCTTCTTCTTCTTCTTCTTCTTCTTCTTCTTCTTCTTCTTCTTCTTCTTCTTCTTCTTCTTCTTCTTCTTCTTCTTCTTCTTCTTCTCCCCATTCTTCCGTCTTCGCCTCTGCTTCTGGTTCAGGTTCTCTGTCTGTTGATGTTGCGAGCGCGAGAAATCTGCGGTCGGGGATGGTGAGGAGTGGAGTGCTGGTGCCTTTAATGACCCGTGCGAGTGGATCTGGACGTGGGGGGAGCAGACCGAGAGCGTCCCGTGGCGGTGTTGTCAGATCATTGCCCCAATCATTCCAGATACTGGTGTAATCCCAGATGCGAGGTAAGCGAGGTGAGCAAGGTGGAGAAGGCAGATTTTCCGGACGTCGCCAGAGGGGAATTACAACCCTCCGCGGGGTCCATTCAGCTTCAATCTCTCTATGTGCCTCCTCTAGTTCTTCTCGGGTGAGTTCGCCCTCGTTGTATCCCCAGCCACTTGTAGTCCAGCCACTGCCGCCGCCACCTCCCCAAGCTCCAGTTGCAGATGCACATGTTCCTCCTAAGCATAGTAAGTCGCCTGTGCCCCATTCGGTTGCCGATGTGTTGTGGGCAGCTTCCAGGTCCCATCCTGCCACAATCCTCTCTTCTACGAGCTTCTCCTATTCCTCTCGCTCCATTTTCTCCTCTTCCTACTTGACGCTTAGTTCCTCCGACTTGTTAGGATCTTTCCATTTGTTCCTAACGAAAGATCTCCCTTGTGTAAGGTCCTGCCTAGCCCTTTCGTAGAATGTCCCTTGTGCCTCTCCTTCCAGGACCAAGCATAACCGTTCAGCTGCAGATCCAGTGTGCAGGCGTGCGAGGGAGGCGAAGATACGGTAGGAGGTGGTGGCAAGCTCTGTCTCGGTCATTCCGACTTCAGGCGGTGCGAGGCTCTCGGCTTCTGCGTCGGCCAGTCCTCCTCCGGCGACGTTGGTTTAGGAAGCGGAGGTGTGAAACAGCTGGTGTCTTCGGGGCCAGGCGTGTGCAGATTTGTTTCGCGAGGATGAGGACTTTGCCTGATCTAAGGGCATCGGTGCTTCCAAGAGTTTTCTGACAGGTACGCGAACTCCAGCGGGATGAAATCCACGAGCTCGTCAGAGGTGGCGCTGCATTCGGGTATATCGAAGTCAAGTAGATAGACTCTGTTGATCAAACGTGCCCGGCCGAGGTACTTGCGTTCTTTGTCGGGGGGAGCGAAGTGAAGCTCGACGTCGCGTGTGAGGGGTTCAGTGGTGAAGGTCTCGCCAATCTGAGAGTTGAGCGGGGGCACTAGGTTGAAGCGCACGTTCGGCATGTAAAGTACATCGTGGAGGGTGATGTGCGTGCTGTTGTCTCTGTCAGAAATAACTGAGCAGGAATGAAATGAACTAGCACAGAGTTTGGTACAAGTAGGAAACCCTAACTTTGTGTACCCCCTAAGGTGTAACCCACTACAGCCTAGACAATATAAACATGCAATGTTTGACACACCCCCATAGGCGCAGTGGGAAACAACCACAGGGTCACAAGACCAGTCAAAGCAAAGCAAAGCAAGCTCAGGGTGGACCTCAAGGATTCCACACAAATTCCGAGCACAAGCAAGCGGTCACAAGACCAGTTCACATGCAGGTTTATAACAAAGTAAGAGATACAGTGATCACAACCTAGCAAAAGTAAGCAAGAAGGCATATATATATAGTGATCACAGTACAAGTAAGGTCAAGAGGTAAGCAAGTGAGGCCCAGTAGGTACAAGGCCTAGCAGAGTGCAAAAGCGCTGATGGTCACAAGGCTGAAGCGCCTTGGTGAACACATCAGCAGTGTTGGCCTCTGTGGCCACGTAACGCAGACAAAGCTGACCACGCTGCTGCAGCTCTCGAGCAAGGAAGTACCGCAGAGCGATGTGCTTCGTTCTGTGCTCCAGTCTGTGCTCCTCACACAAGGCAATGGCAGCCTTGTTGTCGACGTACAGCACTGGAGGAGAACCAGGCCGCTCTCCGAGGTCGGTCAGCAGGTAGGTCAGCCAGCGTAGCTCCTGAGCAGCCATGGCTGTGGCGTAGATCTCAGCCTCACAACTGGAGCTGAGAACAGAAGAAGAGCGAGTAGAACGCCAAGAAACTGAGCCAGAGCCAAGGCTGAAGGTGTAACCCTGGGACGACCGCTGAGTAGCCTGGTCGTCTGCCCAAGAAGCGTCTGAGTGCCCTGTGAGAACAACCCGGTCTCGCCCTCCAAGCACAAGCCCCATGCCCGACGTACTGCACAAGTAGCGCAACACCCTCTTAGCAGCATCCATGTGCTCCTTCCGGTGACGGCCAGGAGCGACATAGCGTGCTAGGATGCTAAGAGGGTATGCAAGGTCAGGTCGAGTGCAGGTCATCAGGTACATGAGGCAGCCCACAAGCTCTGGATACGGGCCACTCGGCTCTACGGACTCATCCGAAGGCAGAGCTGAGAGCGAGTGACCGGTAGGCAGAGGAGTGGACTGAGGCGAGGAGTACGTGAAGCGGAAGCGCTGGAGGACCTGCTGCACCATGTGTGACTGAGTCAGGGTGATGGTGCGCCGTGCTCTGTCCCGGGTGATCCGCAAGCCAAGATAGCTCGTCAGCTCACCCAGGTCTGTGCACGTGTGTCTCCTCTGCAGCTCCGACTTCACGTGAGCGAGTGCCGCGGTGTCAGCAGTGGCAAAGACCAAGTCGTCGACGTACACGAGGATGTAGAAAGGCGGCAGCGAGGTGTCGGTGCGTAGAAACAGCGACGGGTCAGCAGTAGAGGGAGCGAACCCAAGAGCCGCAAGTGTCGTCCTCAGTGTGTCGTGCCACTCACGTGGCGCCTGGCGGAGACCATAGACCGGCCGCTGAAGCCTCCACTGGGTGCCAGGAGGAAATGACCCAGTGAAGCCAGGGGGGCGGCGCAGCCAGATCTCCTCGTGCAGGCTGCCCTGCAAGAAAGCAGTGCTGAAGTCAAGAGAGTGAAGCTCGTAGTCGCGGTGAGCGGCTATGTGCAGCAGCACCCGAAGAGTAGTCATCTTCGGGGTGGGGGAGAAGGTCTGAAAGAAGTCTACTCCCTCTCGCTGACTGAAGCCTCGAGCCACGTAGCGCGCCTTGAAGACAGGTGGAGAACCCGGAGGCCGCTTCACCCTGAAAATCCACATGCCACTGACGATGTTCGCCCCAGGAGGGGGAACCTCGTCTACGTAGGTGCCTGTGGACTTCCAGGAGGCCATCTCTGCGTCCATGGCTGTCTGCCACTGAGAGGAGTAGGGACCCGCCATCGCCTCAGCGTAAGAGCGTGGGGTCGGGATGTCTGGTGCATCCGGGTCTCCCTCAGGGGCAACTAGCAAGGACACGAGACGGGGCAAAGCAGCAGCAAGGCAGTGGAACTCCTCCTGTCTGTCCTCAAGGACGTCCGTGCCGAGGGCACACTCACCCCCGACGGACGGAGGACAGGCAGACGCAGACTCAGACCTAGCGACAAGGCTGGCAGCGTAGTCTAGGCGACAGCGAGCAGCAAAGTCAACCAACTCAGCGACCAGGGCAGACGCAGCAGAGGACTCAAAGGTCGGGTCAGTGACAACTGTAGCGAGGAGACGCGTAACAGTGGGACTGGCAGCACGACGGGAGTCAGACTCCGGGTCAGGAAGAGTAGGAAGAGAGGACGCAGGAGGAGACGGCAGCGGGACACGCTGCGGAGCAGTGGAGGGACGCAGAGTCATGTAGTGAGTGCCAGGGACAGGAGGAGGACGCTCACGTGGGACACGACGACCAGTGCGAGCAGTACGAACAGGCGACGCAGGACGAGACTCAGGCTCACGACGCTCTGTAAGACCTCCTGTGGGACCAGCGTAAGGGGAGGGAGCAGGGAGAGGCGAGACAGGCGGTAACTGTGACTGCGGCTGGACAGGCAGAGGACACTCGACGGAGGGAGGAGGACAAGGAGGAGGAGCCTGACCAAGAACCTGCTGAAGGAGCGGTACGAAGTACGGTCGCGGCCGCGCAGCGTCTCCAGAAGCAGCAGGGACACCAGTGGCAGCCCCAACGCCCGAGTCCTCAGCACCAGCAGCAGCTCCAACGCCCGAGTCCTCAGCACCAGCAGCAGCACCACCGGTCGGGTCCTCAACACCAGCAGCAGCTCCAACGCCCGGGTCCTCAACACCAGCAGCAGGGCCACTGGTCAGGTCCTCAGCACCAGCAGCAGCGCCACCGGTCGGGTCCTCAGCACCAGGAGCAGCTCCAACGCCCGGGTCCTCAGCACCAGCAGCAGCTCCAGCCCCCGGGTCCTCAGCACCAGCAGCAGCTCCAGCGTCCGGGTCCTCAGCACCAGCAACAGCACCACCGCTCGGGTCCGCAGTACCAGGAGCACCACTACGAAGACTGCAGCGCCGCGTGTACCACTCGCGGATCACCTGAATGGGGGGGAGCTCCTGGGTAGGAGGGGAAGTACCGGGACGAGCTCCAGAAGCACCTCTCCGGAGGCGGCAGTACTCGAGGTACCTCTCCTGCAGCTGCTGGGAGGAGGGGTCTCCTCCAGGTGGAGCACGCTCAGGCTCAGCACCCCCAGACTCAGCACCCCCAGACTCAGCACGTCCAGACTCAGCACCTCCAGGCTCCGCACCTCCAGGCTCCGCACCTCCAGGCTCAGCACCCCCAGGCTCCGCACCTCCAGGCTCAGTACCTCCAGGCTCCGCACCTCCAGGCTCCGCACCTCCAGGCTCAGCACCCCCAGGCTCCGCACCTCCAGGCTCAGCACCCCCAGGCTCCGCACCCTCAAACGCAGCACTCCCAGGCTCAGCACCCCCAGACGCAGGACGCGAGTCAACAGCTACCTCGACAGGCTCACCCGGGTCTACCTGGGACACACCTGAGGGAGCGGCACCCTGAGGGGGGAGGGGGTCTGGTACCTCAGCACCTGGAGCGAGGAAGAGAGGTGGGGGGGGGAGCGGGGCAGTGCGGTAGGGGAAGAGGCGGTAGAAGGGGACGGACTCGTCAAAAGTGACGTCCTGAGAGGCCAGAACCCGGCGCGAGGTGACGTGGTAAAACTGCCATCCAGGCGCGTCGGGAACAAAGCCAAGAAAGACACAGGGAACAGTGCGACGCGAGAGCTTGTCCGCGGACGTGTCGCGGACAAAAGCTCGAGATCCCCAGACCCGGAAACGCGACGCATCGCCAACCTCTCCCGTCCACCGTAGAGTCGGGGAAGTCTCCGGCAAGGAGACACGGGGCCAGAGGTTGAGCTGATGCGCTGCGTACCGGACCGCAAACGGCCACAGAAAGTGGGGAGCAGCCGCATGGGTCAGGGAGGTACGAGCGACCTCCATGACTAAGCCAATGCGGCGCTCAGCAACCCCATTCTGCTGTGGAGAGGCCGGAAGCGTGTACGACTGCTCAATGCCGTGCTCAGCACAGTAGG